CATAAATAAAGTTCAGCGCAAGGCGCCTGAACACAATTGGCGTTAACCCGACGATACAGCTGTGTCAAAGGAGTACATATATAAAGTTTATAAAATTGGGTAGGCAGCACTGCAGCCACTATTGACGTTTCACAAAGGTTATCGTCTACTGGAAAAGTAGTTCCTAGACCGGGCGTAGCTCTGTAGTAGAGTGCTTCATTGCCCCAGAGAACGCTTTCATCCGATTCCAGCTGGAACCCTGACATTTATTCTGTGTTTCTGTTGGGACTACGCTACCAATGTCGGGTATTGCTTAAGTTGCTTAACGCTGATGCGTTGAAATAGCCCATGTGTGTTGTCGTCGCTCCTGGGTAGATACTAAGTGTCAATCACCTGTGGCACTTACCCGCATACCAGTGACACATACACGCCCATAGGTATGTGCCACTGTCTGGAGGCAAGTGTTTGACGACGTACGCGACGGGGTTGTGACATTATTCATGTCTTGACCAGCACGTCATATTCTTCGAATAATCTTGACCTCTCGATCTAGCTTTGGTTCACGCAAAGTTATGGGTTTGACCACGAGAGCACTCAAACGTAAGCGAATAGATAGATAGATAGATAGATAGATAGATAGATAGATAGATAGATAGATAGATAGATAGATAGATAGATAGATAGATAGATAGATAGATAGATAGATAGATAGATCAACGGCTGCCTGGACATATCGGTATTACCGGAAATCAATTAGCCGATGATGCAGCCCGCTCAGCCCATGAAGAAACCCGTGTAATCCCGATTCCTCTATCAAGGAATGATGCAGCAAGACAACTTTACCTGCTGGCTCGAGATCTTACACGCACGTTCTGGTCGTCTACCAGCTTCCAAAGGTGTCAATTTTAAGAACTGGATCCTTCACTCAAGCTAAAGCTACCATCACAACTTTCCCGCTCCGATGCGACACTGTTATGCTGCCTTTGGTTAGGTGTTGCATTCACAAAGGTGTACTCCTTTCGCATTGGTATGGCAGACAATCCTACATGCGACTACTGCGGAGATGAAGAGACCATCGAACACGTCCTGTGCAGCTGCGCTTGCTACGACACACAGCGATGCCAGCTACGGATGGTTTTGAATCGACTTGACCCCGGACCATTTTGTGTTCAGAAGATACTAGGACCTTGGGCATCTGCCTCAGTTGCGCAGAAAGCAACTAAAGCACTGCTACTTTACCTTAAGTCAACACACCTGAGCGACCGCCTGTAAACTGTGTGTGCTCCCCGAGGGTGCTCGTGATTGTGTGTACCTTCTCATCTTTCTGCAACCTCTTTTCTCCTATTTATCCCTTCCCCAGTGCAGGGTAGCAAACCGGATGTGCGTCTGGTTAACCTTTCTGCCTTTCCTTGCATCTTTATCTCTCTCTCTCTCTCTCTCTCTAGATAGATAGATAGATAGATAGATAGATAGATAGATAGATAGATAGATAGATAGATAGATAGATAGATAGATAGATAGAGATAGATAGATAGATAGATAGATAGATAGATAGATAGAATAGATATGATAGATAGATAGATAGTAGATAGATCAACGGCTGCCTGGACATATCGGTATTACCGGAAATCAATTAGCCGATGATGCAGCCCGCTCAGGCCCATGAAGAAACCCGTGTAATCCCGATTCCTCTATCAAGGAATGATGCAGCAAGACAACTTTACCTGCTGGCTCGAGATCTTACACGCACGTTCTGGTCGTCTACCAGCTTCCAAAGGTGTCAATTTTAAGAACTGGATCCTTCAACTCAAGCTAAAGCTACCATCACAACTTTCCCGCTCCGATGCGACACTGTTATGCTGCCTTTGGTTAGGTGTTGCATTCACAAAGGTGTACTCCTTTCGCATTGGTATGGCAGACAATCCTACATGCGACTACTGCGGAGATGAAGAGACCATCGAACACGTCCTGTGCAGCTGCGCTTGCTACGACACACAGCGATGCCAGCTACGGATGGTTTTGAATCGACTTGACCCGGACCATTTTGTGTTCAGAAGATACTAGGACCTTGGGCATCTGCCTCAGTTGCGCAGAAAGCAACTAAAGCACTGCTACTTTACCTTAAGTCAACACACCTGAGCGACCGCCTGTAAACTGTGTGTGCTCCCCGAGGGTGCTCGTGATTGTGTGTACCTTCTCATCTTTCTGCAACCTCTTTTCTCCTATTTATCCCTTCCCCAGTGCAGGGTAGCAAACCGGATGTGCGTCTGGTTAACCTTTCTGCCTTTCCTTGCATCTTTATCTCTCTCTCTCTCTCTCTCTCTCTAGATAGATAGATAGATAGATAGATAGATAGATAGATAGATAGATAGATAGATAGATAGATAGATAGATAGATAGATAGATAGATAGATAGATAGATAGATAGATAGATAGATAGATAGATAGCGAGAGAAGAAAGACGGGACGGCGGCCAACGTGGTCGTGTCGTTCTCTCACCACTTTATTATCCAGGTTGATTTGCTGAAGCGGAGCGGCGGCAGCTGCCACGCCCAAACCGCCAGGCCAGAAGCTCGTTCTCCACAGCATGCGCCTCGAGCTGTCGCATGAGCTGCACGAGAGGCGCAGCGCGGTGGCTAGAAAAATGACGATGATGATGAATGGCGATGATGATGACGCTATAGCGTCATCATCATAATCTGTATACAGATTACTCCCCCCCCCCCCGCAAAAATAAAGCCGGAATGAAAATAATGAGAGCGTATATACAAGCTAGTTAGGTTTGCAAAATGAAACGGTGTTCGTGAGCACTCCAGGTCGTCAACTTGAAGGGACAATCGGCAACCAGTGGGTCTCTGGCTGGCGACAGAGGGAATGGCGCAGCGGACGCGGGTAGTTACGCAGGCATGCTGTTGGAAGGAGCGGGCGAGGGTCGTGATGAAGGGACACTTTTGTCGATAGCGAGTACCAACGACAAGGTGAAAAATGGTCAAGGGCCGAGAACACACACGGGCCGTTTCGGTGCGGTCGATTGTCGTGCGCACTCGGACACTGATGCTTAAAAGATGGACTGTAGCATGAGCGTAATACGACCACTCCAGAAAGTCCAGTGTTACTTCTTTGTTGGAGCTGGTGCGAACGTCGACAGGGAGTGTGGTCAACCCTGGTAGTGTGTTTACCGTGCTGGTACCGTCGCTTCCGGTGGCACATTACCGGCGGCGGTGGCCGCCTGGTCGGCCGAGTAGGGTGCAGATAAGTTGGAAACGGTGCGCTTTGGACCGATGAAGTGCGACATGGTTTACAGTGATAACGAGCCGGGTCAGAGGGCACTGATAGATTGCTTTTTCCGACCTTTGACGATGTGTAACGCGTAGGCGTACGCCGATGAGTCATCGCGTTGATCGAGCTAGAACCGTCGTTTGGTGATGCGAGATCGAGCGGCGGGTATGTGGCGTCACAGTTGTCAAGGGCCGTCGACGGCGTTGAAATGCTCAAGCACGCGTACGTAGTGGTAGGCGGATGGTTTAACTGCGCATCTGTTGGGGCATGCACGGTGTGCTCCACCTGTAGTCAGCCAGGCGTGCGGCCCTCGGGATTTTCTGACATCGTCACAGCATCATGCACGTTCAGCCGTGCATGCTCAGGGGCTTGAACTTCTGTAGGATACATCGAGGATGATGTTAGTAGGTGCTGGTAGTCCACGAGGTTTTGAGCAGCGGGCGCCGGTGTGCAGGGGAAACTGACGGCGTGCAGTGTCACAGCGGGCTCTGGGTCCATAGTGTGAGTGGTGTCGCGGGCCTCCACAGGTGCCGGGACAGGCGGGGAGTCTGCAGGAAGGTCAGCTGGCCCCGCTGAGGTCGTCCGATCGCCCGGGACAGACAGTTCAGCCGACCAAGTCTCTGAAGCGAATGCGACGGTGCACAGGGCAGCGGCCGGTGTCGAATATATGTGGCCAATTGCCGGCAGGGGAATGGTCTGGACTGGCTGCGGGGCGAGAGGTGTCCTGGAAGGTGATGAGCCAGGTGCAGTTGTGTCATTTTTGGGAGGAGGAGCATGTTTAAGGCCGTAAAACTTGAGCACGGCATCTCGCAAGTGATCGTACGGGCGAGGGCTCCAGAAGAAGTATGTGAGGTCATGTGGAAGATGGCATTCCAATACCTCGTACATGAGCTCTTGGATCCAGATGCCGTTGTGATACAAGGCCGCCGCAAACTCCTCGAACCACGACTCTAGGTGAGAGGTCCGGAACGGGGGCAGTGGCGGGTCGAATTGAGGCTGCCAGGCTGGTGCTGACTGGAGCAGGGCCGCGTAGCTCGGTGGCAGTAGTGCAGCGCCGGTCGCTTGTTCGTGTGTCTGTGGTCACCAATGTAGCGAGAGAGGAAAGACGGGACGGCGGCCAACGTGGTCGTGTCGTTCTCTCGCCACTTTATTATCCAGGTTGATTTGCTGAAGCGGGGCGGCGGCGGCTGCTACGTCCAAACCGGCAGGCCAGAAGAAGCTCGTTCTCCACAGCACGCGCCTCGAGCTGTCGCATTAGCTGCACGAGAGGCACAGCGCGGTGGCTAGAAAAATGACGATGATGATGAATGGCGACGATGATGACGCTACAGATAGATAGATAGATATATAGATAGATAGATAGATAGATAGATAGATAGATAGATAGATAGATAGATAGATAGATAGATAGATATATAGATAGATAGATAGATAGATAGATAGATAGATAGATAGATAGATAGATAGATAGATAGATAGATAGATAGATAGATAGATAGATAGATAGATAGATAGATAGATAGATAGATAGATAGATAGATAGATAGATAGATAGATAGATAGATAGATAGATAGATAGATAGATAGATAGGGTCACCAGCCTCCATTTTACAAATAATAGGTGGTACCTTGAACATTTGCCCGGTCATAGCACTCAGGTCATAGCACTTAGTTCGTAAAGTTACAGCAACTTTACTCGCTTTAGGAGACGCACTTTATGTGGTGTTCGCCAACTTAGCACCTTATTCAAACATGGACAGCTGATCTATGGACCTGCGGCTGTCCTGGAAAATTCCTTGTTGCTGCTTGAGACCTGGATGGCCATGTAGTAGCGCCAGATGCGTGCTTCGTTGGAGAGCAGCATAGTGTGTGTCATGGGGACCTTTAAAATATAGAAAATTTAAGTCAAGACAAAAGAAAAGTGTCTGACCTCGGTGCTGAAGTTCTCAGGCATTACTCTACGGTGAAGAACTTTCTATGTTGATGAGTAGGGGCAGTAAATCATATTAATACTACCTTGGGACTGTTCGTTAGAATAGGGCACAATATTGCTTGCCCCCATAACGACTTTTTTTGCCGCTATAACTGCACGCCACTGCGACCTGTTAATTTGTTATCTCATTGTAATACTGTGAGCCAAAGTGGGCTACAGTGAAATCTTCGAAATATATTCATGTACCACGCACGGGGCACCAGATTTATTTGAAACACTATAAATGAGAACTAATAGAAACTGATACCGAAGAAAGTATAGGGGATGATATTTGAAATAATTTGAATGTAAATCTTAATAAATAAAAGTGGACGAAATGGTAACTTTTAACCAACAGGGGTTAAACCTGCGACCTCCAAATTGCACGGCAAATACGCTACCTGTGAGATACAACAGCGGTCATTTCTCCGTCCACTTTTAGAGGGCAAATCTTCTCGTTAAATTTTTCTAAGGACTATAGTGTTCCTTGGAATACTTCGACGCAAAAATTTTGGTCTGTCTGTCTGTATCTTTGTTTCTCTGCCTTTGTGTCTGTGTGTCTTGCTTGGTTTACTGTCAGTCACTCGTTTAAGTAGAATGGTGAATGGCGAAGCTACCAGCCATCTTGATACGGGTTTTGCGTTGAAACGCCCTGACATTATCAATCAAAACACAAATATTACGCATATTCTGGCGCAACATCACTAAGAGGTTATTAGGCAGCCTATTGATTTATCTTTAAAATGCATAAATGCGTAACCATAAAGACCGCAGTGCTTATTGCGCGGTGCTGCCAATGAGACGCTGTGACCGAAAAAATGGGGGTTTCATACGCTTCTCTAGAATGGATGGACGGATGTATCCGGCTGTGGCCTTTAGATCTGGCGGTGACTCACGCCATCTAGGCATACAGTTAAGTACTATCACTGTGTGTTTAAGGATTGAATTTCACTCGAGCCTCGATTGTAGCCACCAATCAGTTAGCCTCTTCCTGGTAATTTCTACCCGTTTAAAGTCTATTTTGCTTTCACTGTCCCTAAACCCCAATGTTTTGAAAACTTCGGTGCCATTATCTTCGACTATATAGCGAAGCACTTTACAGAACATTATGAAATGTTCAGCCGTTTCCTCCTCCTCTCCACACGCACTACATACCGTGTCTGTGCCTTCGTATAAGCTGCATGTATGCTGCTGCCTACTAATAACGTTGCGTTCGAGAAAAAAAGAATTTTGTTCAAATTACTGCTAGTTTGCGTGCACGTTTCACGCAGCGCCTACTCGCCGACTATCTCACGCTGTACGCCAAATAAACGTTTTATTCTTTCTATAGAACAGAAAGTCACTTTTGATGACCTTTGCCATAAAACGCAGATTCAGCGCGATTTTTTTAGACGTTTACATTTTAAATACTTTTAATGGCATCCCCTATACTTTCCTTAGCATTACTGTGTGTTAGTTCTCATTATTATTCTCATTTTTATTCTGTCCAACAAAGAAATTGAGCCATTCAATTTGGACTTTTCCAGGATTCAAGTGGGTTCACTATTTTGCCAATCTATATTTTCACCTCACAGAAACACTAAGTAGCAAGTCTGCCCCACCCATAAAATATCTAACAGCCTCCTACACCGCGGTGCGAAGCATCGATTTTGAAGCATCATCTTCCTTTCACATTGATTAGCTCACAGCATTAACTACCTTCACCACAAATAAAGTTGTTGAAGTATAATGAGTGAATACAATAGAGGATTCATAACATGAATAAATACACGGACGCAACCACTGGTCCTCGCGATACTGCGGGATCGCCATTTCAAACTGTCAAGTATTTCCTGTTGTGTCCATTGTACGTAAGCACGAGAGCAGACAACGCTCATTGTGCAAAATAAAATAATTATTGTTGTACTACTCGGACAGCCGTAAATAGAAGCCTTAATCGGCGTTAATAACAGTTTGCATTATACATGACCCTGTTTCATTCTGCAAGTGGTCATTTCAAAAGCAAGCACACATACCTGTTTTTCCATAATTTCTTCGTGCTGTACAAAAGCAACGCAACAAGACGTCAACATACCCAGTACCGTTGAACAAAATATTCCTATAAGCTTCTTGTCGTGGTGAGAATCAAATGACTTGGAGGAGCTAGCAGATATTTTTTAATTGATTTTTATCGAACTTAGCAAATCCTAGTGAAAGAATGGTTGGACAAAAATTTATGCAACATAAACTTCTATATTTTATCAGTGGCTTACATTTCTTTCATTCTTAGTGATCTAAAAACATTATAATAATAAAGAGTCTTGGCTTTTTTGATGACTTTTGAGGCTCGGGATTACCGGGGTTGCAGGGTTCATTCTCTGTTCACGACAGTTGCCCATCTAGGAGCTTTAAAGTTGCCAAGCTGGTAGTGACATCTAGTAGTGTTTCATAAAACTAAAATACGTTTGAGTTCATTTGATGTTTCGTTTTAGTTACGCATGTGGTGTTTTGAGAAAGAAAATAGTGAAAGTACTCTTAGCTAACTAAAACGGTACTGCTAACGTGCTACACCAGTAGTTATCTAGATGATGTTAGTCACTCTTTCTCCCTGCCTTCCTCTTTCGTTTCTCTCCCTATTTTTTGTCACTGTCAGCTGCGTGTGATTCGGTTAGGCTCTATGCCTTATCGCGTATACTTAATTCTTTGTTAGTCCGTAATCTGCTGCCGTCCAAACTTCTACGGGCAAAATAAAATTTCTTTTCTCTAGACGCAGTGAGGCAGGTTCGCATTTTTTCCCATCGCTTTTGAATACATTTACCCGCTGCTACGTGACATCGCAGCCAAATCTTGGGCACGTAAATGCATTCCCGCTTTACTAAAACTTTGTCTCCACAAGAAATTTTCGCGTCACGGTAACGATACCCTAAACCCGCGATTCACGCGAACGCCAGACCTAAACCGGTCTCGCGTCGTTAACTAGCCTTTCGAACATTGTGAGCCTGTTTTTTGCATTTCCGTTCGAAGGCTTCTATCTTTATGCTATCCACCATGCCTTCTAGTTACAACGACGACCTCTTTATTTCGTGCCATATTTCTTCTATAGCGCTACATTTGGTGCCACACATGACGACGAAATAAAAACGTGCAGCTATAACGAGCAATGTCAGCCTATTTTATGTGTTTTAAAAGGAGGTCTCTCCCAGTGATATCCATCAACTAATTAACCACGGATGCCCCAATAATATGTCATTGGCATGTGACTGGCGTTTTTTTTTCCTCTTTGGTGCCTCTGCTTTCATGAAGAAGCCGCATGGGCTCTCGTCTGAATACAACGTTCAAAGGCAGTCTATTTTTTCTTTTTGTGTGAACGCAGTGGTGGAGTGGTGGTTATGGTAATCAGCTGCTGACCCGAAGGTTGCAGGTTAGATCCGGCCGTGGAGTTCACAATTTTATGGGGGTGAAACGGTTAAGGCGGTACTGTGTGATGTCAGTGCACCTTAAAAAACACCAAATGCTCCAAATTTCCGTTGCCCTCCACTATAGCGCCTCTCATGTTCGTATGGGTTTGGAACATAAAATCCAAGAATATAATATTATTAGTACATAGTATTATTATTATTGTTATTTATATTAATGTTTATCACAACTGCTGATTGCTGCAGTCAGAATTATGTTCTTTTTCTGAACGATGTGACAATAATAACCTTTACCTGGATCCCCCAAAAACCAAGTTCATGAAAATATCTCGCAATACATCCATCGTATCGTTTATATACTTTGTCAGTGCCGTGTCGTTATGTAAGGTTTATAAGTTCACTGAGCTTCGTGTTCTTTTGACTGCATTCTTAATTTTTTTCCCAAACTAAACGTACTACCACGCGAAGCCTTGGTTCTCTCGGTTGCGTGTGCAAAATTTCTTGAAAATTTAGTTTTCCTACAGCTTTTCAGAAACAGTGCACCACAACATGTCTTCCTGAACATGAATATGCTTCCATAATCTAGAATGGCACGGCTAAATCTGCAGTAGTGACACCATTGAGCAAGTAAAAAAAAAATTATTGGAATTTACAACCATCTTAATGTTAGTAATTATTATAAACCTCGTTTTAACACTGCCAGATTCTTATCATTGTCATCACTTCACTGCCGACGAAATCACTCAGACCTTATATTTCTTTACATACTGGTTCACGGTAAAATATCTGGCCCTTCGCTTCTGGGATGTGTAAATTTTCAGATTCCGCGTAAGTTAACTAGAGAGAATCGACCATTTCATGAACCTGCCAACTTTTTTGAGCACTCCATCGTTTTCAGAGTACAAAGTCCGTATAATGTTTACATTCATGATTTTGATGTTTTTTACAGTCAACTGCCATTTTTTTACCTCAGATTTGCACTATCTTATGATAGTTTTTCACAATGCACAAATTCTACACTTCACCGTTTTTCAGCTATATATATATATATATATATATATATATATATATATATATATATATATATATATATATATATATATATATATAGTTGTGTATAATCCCTTTTATTTTTTACTGTCATTCCATGATTCTCACATTCCTTTTATATTTTTTTTTCAATTTCGAGTGATTTCTCTCTATCTGTGCAATTTCGCTCTCTTTATTTGATTTCTTTTATTTTCTTATTTTTTCTGTAGATTTATATTGCATTGTTTATTTTGATTCTGTTATTTTTACGTGCGCCTGCACTAAGACCTCAAGGTTGTACGAGGGTACGTTAAATAAATGATCGATCGATCAATCGAATGATTGATTGATTGATTGATTGATTGAATAAATATATATTTCAGTGAAGCTGTATATATCTAGGTTTTGGAGATTCGCGATTGTGGTCGAAAGATGCGTAGAGCAACTATTTTTAGTTGCCATCAACGTCGCTGATGCTTCTTTCAC